ACACACAGGCCACATACATGTAAATGTAAATCCTATCTAAAGCTACTTATAAAGTGCTGGCTCCCTCCTGCTTCTCATTTTCCATACTCGTACAAGGTTCCAGGTTCCCAGAAATCAGTCCAGGCTTATAAGAGTAAAAAAAAATCTAAGAATAACTGTTAACTGAAAAAGTAAAAAGAAAGAAAAATCCATGGTGCTATAAACCTGATGGTAAAAAAGAGGTCCAACCTCCAGGAAGAGATAGGTAGCTTCTGAGTGAAGATGGTAACATTTTCTCCCCAGGAAGATCAGCTCCAAAGTTTAGTTCACTCTTTCCTGCTATAAAGCATATTGATATTAACAGTTTTCTTCTGCCTACGTGCGTGTTTTTCAAATTAAGTATCTGTAGAGCTTAAAATACTGTTTCAGACATCCTCCTTTTCTTCTGCGTCCATTCCATATAATGTACAATATGCACACAGTGCCAATAACCAGCTCTGCTTCTCATAAACAGATGCAAACTTACATGAAAGTGGAAAAGGTTTACCCATTTTCAGGACACAGAGTAGCATGTATTTGTGCATTCACTCTGCCCGAAGTGGTGAAGGGCTTACGTTTGTAATATCAGAGTTTGGAGGTGACATATTTGCATATGTATATTCAGAAAGTGGTACTGAATGGAATTCTGGACTCACCAAAGTCCAGTATCAATTTTACAAATGTTCTTAAAGGACTCAGAACTTCATCTCTATCATTAAGATTTTGCTGAGAACAACCTCTGTCTTACTGGTGAAACAAAGTGCTGGGTGCAGTAAGCACAATCCACGTTGGGAAACACATCCCTTGAGGTTTCAGTTATAGTTTCTGTTGCAAGTACAAGTCTTCTATTGCTCTGAATTCTTGCATTCATTTGAGGTATAAGACAGAGAGAGTCTGGAGACGAACAGGGCCTGAAGCTTTGCACCTGTTTAGAATATATTCTCCTTTTACTGTAGGCTTTATTTCTGAGTGTAAATACAACCCAAAAAGAATGCCCCATGCCCCCAAACTAGTGTTCCATATTTAACACAATCTTTCAGCCAGATAAATAAACGAACTCCATATAAAATGCATGTATGCAGCATAACAAATCCCTGGGCTTGAACAGCAGGACATAGAAATGTTCAGCTCCAGAACACTTTCAGGCACTTTATGTTTAAAGTCATTTTTCAGTAAATCTACACTTCCTTTTCAATTGTTTGGGGTTTTTTTTCAGTTAGGAGTAATCCAAATGAGCCTTTAGGTAGATACAAGAGTGCTCTGTAGAAATTGGCAGATATTGAGCATGACTCCTCATTAAAGCTGTATGCAAAAATTTGAGTAGACCTTTCCTTTGGACTAGATTCATGTGAGTTTCCATTTCTTGAATTTCACTTTGATTTCTAGGTTCAAATATGTGAAGAAAACTGAAAGCCAAACTGTTGGAAGCATGATATTCATGTGGTTTCATGAAAAAATTGCTGGGCTTGCATGAGTTTGTTGTGAAAACAAAATCAAGCTGCATTTTAAAATCTGGTCTGAATTTTAAATGTGCAACAAAATATCAGGTCTGGTGAATTTCACATAACTTAAAATGTTATTATGAACATCTTGCTGGTCTGCTACTGATTAAACACATATCTTGAATAAACAAAGCTCTTTATAACTAAATCACCTTTTCAACATGTCTGAACATTGCAGTCCACATAATTTGGTAACATTATGACAAGATCTTCAGCTTACTGTAAGAGAGATATTGAGGTGCTGGAGCACATCCAAAAAGAGCAGTGAAATCGATGATGGGTCTCAAGCGCAAGTCTTATGAAGAGCGACTGAGGAAACTGGCATTGTTTAGCTTCTTTTGGACAAAAGGAGATGCAGCGAGCAACTTACCATTCTCTACAGCTACGTAAACGGAGGCTGTAGTGAGGTGGGTGTCAGTCTCCTCTGCCAAATAATAAGTGATAGAACAAGAGGTAAAGGTCTTAAGTTCTGCTGGGGGAGGTTTAGATTGGATATTAGGAAAAACTTCTTCACAGAGAGGGTTTTTAAGAGTTGGAACAGACTGACTAGGAAAGTGTTTGAGTCACCATCCCTGGAGAAATTTTAAAGATGTGTAGCCGAAGTGCTTAAGGACATGGTATAGTGGTGGATCTGGCATTGCTAGTTTAGTAGTTGGACTTGATGATGTCAAAGGTCTTTTCCAACATAAATGATTCTGTGATTCTATTATTCTATCATTCTTTTATTTTCTTTTATGGTTAAATTCATTCTTTTGCCATCATACTCCATCCAAAATCTCCATCATCTGCAATGGGAGGACCATCAGCAGAACAATGGCAGGATACACGAAATCCATTTATAGTCCAGTTATACCAGCTTTGATGTTTTAAGTGCCTGTTAAGACTTCTGTACTGATAAGAAGAATCTCTTAAACTTCCTCTTCAAACTGTTCAAAGTTGAAGAAGAAACGTCCAAAATCAGGAATTCCAAAATGGGATTACGTAGTGTTAGTGCAACATCTCCAGTTTAAAGTTAGACTATGAGAAAGAAGAAAAAAAAGAAAAAGAGAAAAATACAAGCAAATCGTAATGAAAACATCCTTCTTAGTTGTTTCATACATACTAGTCCACATAATCATAATTGCACCAGTTTGGTTCTTAAAAATAAAGCAGTCATCATTTCATCTATTCAATATTACAAACCTTGCTGTTCACCATAAAAATTTGGCTTTGAGAATTTCATGTTTAGGAATTCCAGGACTTATCTGTAAGTATACATATATGAAGTTGGTCTTCTTGGGCCAAAGGAATAAAGTACAGAAGAAAACAAATAGCAGTGTCCAGGAAATGTATGGAAAAAATCCTTTTATACAGCTCTAGTGCGTGTGTTGACACTGCTGGGGAAGCAAAGAATTTGGGGTCTTTGTGTGGTAATGCTGCTATTTAGGAGATTTTTATGTTTAGTCTCTTGAGTTCTTGAGAGCAATGTAAGAAGTTGTAAATTCTGCCATGGTGTAATCCTACAATGGTTTCCCCACTTCTGAGACAGATGGTGGTGCAACGTGGTCCTTTCCTCTCCAGTCTTCCAAGAAGTAGTCTCTGAAGTTGCTGTGTCAGTGGATTTGGACATAGAAATGACTCACTGGTGGTAGATGAATCTTGATACATTTTTTAGGCCTTTTTTCACCCTGGATATGTTCAGTCCATCTAGGGGTTTTGCCATCATAGTGCCTTCCCACTGAACCTTTTCAATCTTTCTGGTCCTGTTTCCTTGCCTGCCAAGTCCAAAGGTCCTCAACCAAGATACTGCTAGCCAGTACAAGCTGAAATCTGTTCTTCCTGCTTTTCTGAATTATTTTTATTACTTGTTCTAAATTTCTTTCTTCAATCTATTTGTCCAAGCTCAGTTCTGTCTAGTTGCTCTCATTTCTATTTTGGCTTTCAGATGTCTTCGGTGTTTATGTTCCTGTTCATGTTATGCCAAACCAGACCCTCTTCTTTCCTATCTGACTTCTCAACATCTCATTCTCATTAATGTTTTTTCTCCTCACTTTCTTCCCTCTTGCAAACTCTGTATCGCCTTCCATCTGCTCATCCAGCTTTTCCTCCAAGCTGTTTTTCATTTCTACTGATGTGCAGTTCTCTTAAATGGTCTATAGTCTGCACTTGCTCCTTTTTATTTTCTGTCCCCAGTCCTGGTGCTCTTGGCAGAGTTTCCCTTTCCTCTGCTAACTTCTGACTTTAGTCACGTTTCAGGCTCTTTGCTAGCATAATGTTCTCCACCTCTTACACAAATGTACCTTACTTTACTCCATCATTGTCTGAGCTTACTAGGGTACCACAGTCAAGAATTTAGGTAAGTCATGGCTTTCTACATGCCCATCTGAACACAGCATGACCTGGAGCACCATAATGTTGTGACTACAAGAGACATCCAGCTCAGCCCCATGTGGGAGAATGCCTACTACATTGAGAAAGAGGTCTTGGATCCAGTCTGCAATTTGTGCTTCAGAAAATCAAATAAAGAGAAGGACACAAACAATTAAAGGGCTGGAGACTTCAGGCAATGCAGTGGCATAGGCATGCAAACTGGATGAATCCTGAACAAAGTGAGAGCAGTGATTTCAAAGACCTATCTGTCAAACTAATACATAAAAGTCAGGGTTCTCAGCTTTCCCGAGGTGTGTGGATCTTTGCCCTTCTATCAAAAATTCTTACTGTCATAAGCCCCCTTTCCTACTAATGCAGAATAGGGTACTTTTTAAATTTCCCTCCAAAATAAAAAGTATTGACAGAAAGACTGTCACTCATTCCTGTTAGAAACATTCCTGTTTTGCAATTTGGGAGCAGAGTTGGACTCCTTAATTGCTGAACAAATGACGTAAAAGGGTTCCAGAGAGCATTTTTCTGTAGCGAATACAGGACTTTAGTAAAACGTACATCCTCCCTGGAGGATTTCAGCATTTTCTGATTGGTGCCTTTTATGGCATACGTTACGTATCGACACAGATTAAGTTTCCCTCCTGTCTGGAACAATGCATGCTCAGGAGGAGAGCTACTGACCTAGCAATAAGCGTGAACAGCTCATGACAAGTGGAGGAGCAGAACTGCTGGAGGACGGCTAGCAGTTGTGCCATTCTGCCTCTCTCCTCCTCCTTCTTCTCCTCTTCCTCCTCCTCCTCCTCCTCCTTCTCCTCCTCCTCCTCTCCCTCTCTCTCTCTTTTTTCCTTCCCCTCTGTCTTTCCCCGCTATATTTTCCATAGACCCTTTAGCTTTGTTGTGCTGCATGTCTGACTAGCAGGAGAGGGATTGGCTGCTTGCCGGCTCGCGGAGTGCTTCCCCGCAGCTCTCCCCAACCCACCCACCCACGCTTGGGTCAGGAAATGTGAGAGGGGCTGATGGAGGCGGAGAAGCAGGGCTGAAGGTTCGCCCCAGCGCTGGATGTGACAGGAGGCAGCCGAGCACGTCACAACTTGATCAGTGTCCGACGACAGGTCCGACATGGACTCAATCATGGAGGGCTGCCGTTGGGTGACTGTGGGTACCCTGCTTCTAGCATCCCTCGTTCTGGTAAATGCCATTTCTTTCCTGAAAATACGTATTGATTGTCGCTGACACTGTATCTGTGTGTATATGTATGGGGTGCATATGTTTTTAATTTTTAAGATCGCAGTTAGAGAGGGTTTATTTTGAGAAAATTGTATTAATCTCTAAAGTATTGCCTTGATATTGTACATTGTTGCAGGTAGAACCAAGAAGTTAGTGTTGGCATCACTTTTATAAACTTGGAGGGCAATGATCTGCAAACGGTAATTTAACTGCTTGGAATTTAGAGAAGAGCTGTTTCTCCCCTTTTAAATCAAGCTGTATCAGGCCGTAATGTTCCTGGAATTTTCTTCCTTCCTAAAAAAAATACAGAAAAGAAAAAGCATTTTTCAGTTGTGCACATGCAGAGAAACCAGGTACAGCATGTACTGAACTTTTTCCTGCAGCTAGCTTAAATGACCTCTCACTACTACTGTACTACATTACGTAGACAAATTTGTTACAACTTTTGGAAAGTATGTTATGTGATATTTGGTATACTTCAGGGCTGTAAAGCTGATGGTTACTTTATATTTTTGTCGCATACTTCCCCTGATTATCCTGATAGTATGCTCTACAGCTGAGTGCTGTAACTCTGCTGTTTGACTGAGATTAAATGTTCCATTTTGATTCATACTTTATTATATGGATGAGCTGTATGTTTGCTGCCAGAAAATCTGCAGTAAGAATATTAATATTCTTACACTTTTGATAACATAATCATCTTGGCGTACATAGATATGTTGTCTTTTTCTGAAGATTTGAGTGAAATGCAGTCATTCAAAAAAAAAAACAGAGCAGCATCTTCCTTTTGTCTGTATAAAACAGTCTATGGTAACATTTTAAACTAACATTAATGCATTTTAGTAACCACAGAGGGGCATAGACAGTGGGACAACTCTATTCAAAATGCTTATTAAAAATTACTATATGGTTTTTATTCAAAAATATATATAATCATTAAATGATAATTAATCACTAGAAATAAGAAAACTCTCTGGACTGCTATCTCTGAAAAGTCTTATTTTGTTTAAAGGTCTATTTTCCATTTAAAACACTGAATTCACACAAAAGGCATAAAGTCAGCATAGATTCTCTTTCATTTATGAAAATGAGAAGTTTATAATCTGGTGACTATAAACCCATATAAACTACTATAAACCAGTACTGCAGTGCTAACTTAGGGAAGATCAACAGGAGACATGACTCACCAACACTGCGTAAGGACTGTAGGATTTGCCCTCATGTTAAGCTCATAACATTTGTAGTTCACTCTGCTGCTTGTGAATTAAGTTCTCAGTCTCTAATTCATAAAAATAAATAGTGCATTCTGGTGCCAGCTATTATGCATTATATTCCATACTATACTAGTTTATATTTGTAAGACTTACCCTGCCTCAGGAGATTCCCCCCTAACTCCTACAAATCTCTTTGTGCCTTAAGAATAGTGATGTGAAGCAAGCTTAACTTTCTTTTTTGAATCAGACCATTCTTTTGCTCCTTCCATACTCAGGAAAATCTCTCATTTACTGTCAGCAGGAGATTAGGTAAACATTCAAGAGTTTGACTTATATCTTGGATAGAGATAGAGATAAGTTGTAGGATACCTCAACATGAGGAGAAATTTCTTTACTGTGAAGGTGACGGAGCACTGGAACAGGCTGCCCAGAGAGGTTGTGGAGTCTCCTTCTCTGGAGACTTTCAAAACTCACCTGGACACATTCCTGTGTGGCTGCCCTAGGTGATCCTGCTCTGGCGGAGGGGCTGGACTAGATGATCTTTTGAGGTCCCTTCCAACCCCTAACATTCTGTGATTCTATGAGTCTATGAGTCTATGATACATTGGTATACATGTTACTACTGCAGCATGAGTTCACACAAAGCGTAGTAGAAAGCTTACGGATATTTTTGAGAAAAAAAGGCATTGGATCAGCCCTATGACTGTCTGTTAGCCTCATAGGTCTTAGCCTTTAGTCAGGTAGGTGGAATGAGTTTGAAAACTATAACAATCAGCATTTGGATTTATGTATTTCACCTTGTATCTCTCTAAAAGCCCTGTCTTGTCCACACTGAGCCACATGAGCGCCCTCTAGTCCTGTAGCACTCTGATAACAGCAGAAGTTCACAGATGGGAACACTAAGGCTGGATATCAAATATTTACATGATCTGTCTTACAATAATTTATTACAAATTCCTATATTTTTAGTAAGGCACACTGGGGAGCAAAGAGCACCTAAAGTCTTTGTTCAGCATCCTTCCCTCAGTGAGGAGGTTGCACAGTACAGTATCAGCAGTGGCCTCTCCTGTTTCCCTTGTTAGACAGCAGATACAGCCTACTTGAGGGCAGACCACCTCGAGCAGTGTAGTAGTGAACGTAGCTCACTACTCCATCAAGGTTCTTAGCCTTCTTCAGAAGAAGCTGTATTTATCTTCAGTTGACTGGTGCTTGAGTAAGGTCTGTGGGGGTCAGTAGTTTTTTTGGTAGCTACCCTACAACTTGCTCCATACTCAGATACTTTCAGAGATGCTATTGAGAATCTGAGCCATAGCACTAGATGACTGTCTTGAAAAAGTAATATCAGACTGAAAGTAACTTAAAATGATAGTTTCTCTCGTTCCAGACTAAGACCAGGTATTCGGATAATCTTGCTCATAAGTCCATGAACTTTCGCATGCTAAGAAAATATTACCATGCCACTTTTAAGAGAAATAAAAGAAAGCAGGCATTCTGTTCCAAAAGGTTTCCCTTTCTATTGATGTAAAAATAAAAGCTTGGCACAAGCAAAGCACAATTGTCTAACTCAAAGGAAACGTGGCCAAAACCATAACCGGCCATGTGTTCATCCAAACTTGAAGTCAATTCACTTCGTGTCAGAAGGGCATTTAATCACATTTGTATTTTCATATTTTCAGCAGCTTTTTTTAGCATTCTCTTGCTGTTGTGGTACTTACAGAAGCAACACTAGAAACTGTAATAAAGTACATGTGTTTTTCTGCAGGTTTTCTTTTTTTGCGGTGCTAATTTGTACATGGAAAATAGTCAAACACAATAGTCCATTCCTTCCAGGCTTTTTGGCATTACACTCCCCTATTATCCAGCTGAGTCTGTCTTGGATGTCCACAAGTACAATTAGCCACTGGAATGAACATGAGTTTTCTTGTTTACATCTGCATGTACAAGGCTTGACAGTTTTTCCTTTCATGTTTAGATAGATCTACCTACTGTTGCATGTCTGTTCCTCTATTTCTACAATTTCAGCTGTATAGAGAGGGATTTTTCGGTAGGGTCCAAAGTGCACACATATATTTTCATGTGTAGTCATGCATGTGTACAAACTGAGATTTGATCACTTCAGTCAGTAAGGGTGGGCTGAAATACAAGGTTCAGCTCTAAAAAGCTAAGATATATTCATGTGAAGAAGTGTAAAATTTGTTACCATTCTGTTTTGACCCATGCTGTTGTATTCCAAATGTCTCATGTTTATAAAAGAACTATTATGTGAAGGTCTAGATGCTACTAAGTGTATGTACACATCACTTTCCTGCAAGATAACTCTAGAATTTTGTATTTGGACTTCAGTTATTGAGCTCTTCCTTCATATATTTATTATTGTATGGTTTGTTTACTTTTTTCGTATCAAGTGCAAAAGCTTGCATGAGCTGAACTAAGGTTGTATGATCAATTTTGGGGGGTGGGAATGTAGTGAATGAGGGTCAGTACTTAATGTAGGCTGCTGAGCTATCAGTCTGCTTTACCAGTGTCTGTACAGTTAAACACGTTTTGTCTTAATAACTTTTGCTAGGTTCATAGTTCTAGTAAAGAATGATAAAAGAAACTGAAATCAAACACCGTGGAGTCTGAAGATTGGAATATAGCAGTAATTATGGATCTGTCAGTTGAACAAACTCATATACGCAGAAAGTTCATGAGTTAATGTAAAGCCTAAGTAGTCCACAGGCACAGCCAAATAGCTCTTTAGGAGAGGGCTATCAATCTCTGTGTGACTGAATTTTCACTGAAGCAAACAAAAACTGAATCCTTTATACCTGTGTTGATAGCCATCCAAATACAACCTCATGGTTTGTGTTACAGTGTTGTCTAGTCAAATCTGTAGACAACAGTGTTGTTTCTATTTCTTTCCATAGCTATTTTCTTAAGCTTGTAAGAAAACTCAGAGCTATATGGGCAAAAATTACACAGAAAAAAAAGAGAAATAGCAGTCTGTTGCCAAGGGGGCATATGTTCTCCTGTATGAGGAAGGAAAGCAGAATAATAAGGTCATCCTTATAGAAACAATCAGAAAGCTGAACGTAGTGAAAAAAAGCAGTGAAAACACACCAGTCACCAGATGTTATGGTATTGGGATGCCAGACAGGAAAAGGAGAAAGAAATTGCTTGTTCCAAGCCAAGGACAGTTGAGAAAGTCTTCTCATGTGGTGGACAGCAACCAATCAAAATCTGGCATGAAACATTGAATTCTATCAGAGCATCATACTCTGGTATGAATCACAACTTCTTCCTAAGTCATGTACAGGAATGACTAACTTTTTTGCTTTTGACATCTCCATCTTTTCATAACAGCCTAGACAGTAGGAGTAGTCAGTAGGACTGTCTTAAGAGATGTCTGACCAGCTTGGGATATTCAAAGTCTTATCTCGTAGCCCTTAAATGTATGTTCAGGCAAAATGGAGGAAATTAGAAAGATATATACATTTCACAGAGTGGTGGAAAATCTTCTCTAGGTCCTTAACACCATGTAGTGTTGAACACAGACCAAAATAGTCTGTGCTTAGTGCAATCTGATCATTTAGATGTCCCTCTGCTTTAGGGAATGTAAAACATTTCATCACAGGTCTGAGATTTGCTATCATGCACACTAAGACTCACTTTACATGTTTAGACCTATCTTTTTAATTAGCCAAATTTTGTCCCTATTCGTAAGAGACAAAGAGGGAGGTTGTCTAATGAGGATTATAGATACTA